GATAGATAGATAGATAGATAGATAGATAGATAGATAGATAGATAGATAGATAACAGATATGTGTCCATTTGCATGTTTGTGTATGCATGTATAGCTATACATATACATATATAAACAAATAACAAGTTAAATATAAAATGATATAATTCCTTAAGACTTTTAAAAGTCTTAGTATAATTTATCCTTCTTCCCTTCATTCTCTTCTTGACTGATCTCTCTCTCTCCATCCTTTTCCATTTTTCTCATTTTTCTCATTTCTGTTTTCATATCACTTGAATTCTTCTATTCTCCTCTCTCAGCCCACAAGCTCTATGCCATGGAGATAATTTTGAGTGTTCTTCTCATAAACAAATAAGAATGATCATGATTCAGGATACCTTACATATCCTGAACTAATCAGCACACCATGTAAATGTGTCTGAATACCATAATATAACACTGAATATATCAATGATGTATGTTTAAGAAATCAATAAAGATTGTTTAGATAAAAATTTTAAAGTAGAAAAAGGTAGCCCTCTCTCAGGAGATTCACATAATGAAAATTCAAAGTGTGCTCTGGAATTTCTAGAAGAACCAGCACACCTTGCTTGCTGTCTATAATTGCTTCTTTGACATTTATTTTGTATCAGTTTACAAAAGCCTAATGCAAATAGGTCACACATTGTCATTTTAAGATATATTTATGGGGAATGGTGGTGCATAAAGCATTTTCTCTTTTGTATTTGTTTCCCAAATTATTTTATAACATGAGCTGACTCATTCTTATAAATGTTTTTGCTATTTAAAGCAGCAGTTAGCTATAGACTACTTGAAACATTTCAAAATGTAACCAGGAAAACAGCAAAGGAAGCCTCAGCTTGAGGATGCCTCTGTGCTTGAGTCCTTGTAATCTAGTTTGACATACATCTCTGAGACATGGTCTACCCAGCAGCCAAGCTTAGCCGGTCATCGTCAGCTCCTTCCACAGGGGAAAGCACGAGCTGTGCTCAGGAATATTATTTTGCCCATCACTTCGGCTCCAGTCCTATTTGCTGTCTGACCATGATAAACTTGCAGAGCCCTGGGAATCTGTTCTACTTCTTCACAATGACCTCATTCTAGAATTTTAAGTGGAAGCCAAATAAAGAGTTTTAAGGTTTCTGTCATTTTGTCTTTTAGGTAAGAACAAATATGTGAAAAGAAATAGTTTTAAGATACCATCAATTCCCATTCTAAGTGAAACGACATGAAAATAACGTGTATATGTAACATTGACTATGCCACACATGGCACTAGAAATATAACAAAACACTGAATTGAGTTTATTGCCACTTGCTCGAGCCAGCAAATAAAATATAATTTCTGCTCTTCTAAATTTAAAGAACAAGTAGATTCACACCTAAAACAAAAACAAAAACAAAAAAAACAGAAAAACAAAAACAACTCAAAAAAAAAAAAAAACCAAAACTTTGAAACTACAGGATCCAAAACAGATGCTTAGAGTTAAGAACACAAACTGTTCTTACACAAGACATAAGGTTAGAGTTGATAAATTGTTTTCATATCAAAAGAGGTGTTTATGCCAAGAGATTTTCATGTTATTTTCATACGTTCGTTATTTTAAAACCCTGAGCACAATAATTAAATCAGTGAAACACTGATCTGTCTGACTCTCCCTGCCCCCATTTCCTTGTTTAACCTAGTGGTCAAAAACAAAAAAACAAAACTGTATCTCACCTAAAATTTAAACAATAAAAACTGGTTCAGTTGGGGCTAAGGAGACAACTCAGCTTTTAACCACTGGCTGCTCTTGAAAGAGGAATAGAGTTCAGTTCCTAGAACCCTCATGATGTCACACAACTCTACAGGTCAAGTAAGGAATTTGGCACTCTCTTCTGGTCTCAGTGGGGAGCCAGGTAGAGACACAGTTCACAGATATTTCTTTCTTTCTATCTATCTATCTATCTATCTATCTATCTATCTATCTATCATCTATCTATCTATGGGCAAAAATCTTATAAACAAAAACTAAAAATAATAAATCCTTTAAATTTGTTTAAAATATTTACAAATGAGTCTCATCAAAATAGTCCTAAGACCTCCACTCTTCCCTACTAAACCTTCCCCACCAATACGGAAAAGCAAGAGGCCCTGCAGTTAGAAGGTTGCATTCCTACAGTTCATGAAACACTTTGGTCAGGACACACAACTCTGACACTTGGGATCAGACAGACCAGATTGTAAAACTTTAAAGCACAGATGTGTTTTTACTCTCTTAGAGATAGTTAAGAAATGTCAATGACTATTTTGTTGCTGTTGTTATTGTTGTGTGTGGTTTTGTTTTGAAAATGTATAGCTTAATTATCTCCTTAAGGCTTAATTTTTCCTCCTCCACTTCACAGTAAACTGAACTGGGATGATTTAAAAAAAAAAAAACAAACTCTGCTTCCTGTAAATAAAATTTAATAAGAAGTATGTCAGCTCATGTGTTGAGT